CTAAAATTTGTATTTTTTTGGCCTAGAAGTGCCCACAGAAACATGCGCATGCACACACAAGCAAACAAACAAAATAGTAAGCACCAAAGTGAGATTGTTCACATAATATTCTGCTCTAAGTGAGACAAGACATCAAAGACTCATACAGCTAGGGAAAGTCATTCAGATAAACGTTGCTTCATAAACACATCTGCTCATAAACACATCTATAAAATATGTCAGCATTTCATGTTCGTGGTCCATTTGCTTTATGTCTTTTATGGCATAAGGCCATGAAGCCAGGCCCTTCAAGATTCTGAAACAGAAAATCCTGTGCTCCTGTGTGATATTTTTCCACAAAGAGGAATATTTTCCTTTAGCTAGCAGCTACGCTGGTTTAATTACAGTGTTCCGTTTTCTCTCCTACATTATGCAGATGTAATGCAAATTCTGCAGGGCATAAAAATACTTTGATGAATGCAGAAGACGTGAATGCCAAAAAACCCAAATTCTGTTTCTTTAGCTGGAGGGAACAAGGCAGGTACCAACAAGACACAGAAGGCAGGCGGAGCATGCATGGAATTCCAGTGTAAATACGCCAGCCAACAATGGGAAATGGCATAGACACACGACCTGCATGTGGCTCATTTACCTTTTTATCAAGAGAGGGAGTATTTAAAATAGCTCTGTGTCTCTCTTCAAAGCAACCTTAAATTCCACAAGTTGAGGCTGTTCGGTAAAGAACCCCACCCATGTTTAAAACTTCCTTCCCCTGTATGCAGCATATGCCTGCAGCTGCTAAAGAGGCAGGGATAAAAACCACAGCTTCTTTACCATAAAACAAAGCCACGTGCCCTGGGTAAAATTTTAAATAACTATGGCACAGACTGCTTGAATTTCAAGCAACATCATATTCTATGCACATTCCTTGCAAATAAGTTGTGTTGTTTTTTTAACAAGAAGCTGATTTTCCATTTAAGTTTATACAACCAATATATTAAGTATCACAATGGTGATTCAGGAGTAGTCTATGGTCACTTGACTAGAAGTTTCTTGCTGCTTCCTTTATACACCAGGCTGCTTACTGAAAAAAGGAAGGTCTTGTCATTATTTACAGAGAGGGCAGAGGCAGGGGGCTTTCCACCCGACTAGTGGAACAGAGAGCAATGTGTAACACTCTGTAGTTGCTAAGCAGAATTTCTATTCCTAAACTAAGGAGGGCGAGGGAAGAGCTTGTGACTCTCCTTAAAACTATGTCAATTCACCGAGAACTATAGAGATACAGTGGTACCTCAGGTTAAGTACTTAATTCGTTCTGGAGGTCCGTACTTAACCTGAAACTGTTCTTAACCTGAAGCACCACTTTAGCTAATGGGGCCTCCTGCTGCCGCCATGCTGCCGGAGCCCGATTTCTGTTCTTATCCTGAAGCAAAGTTCTTAACCTGAAGCACTATTTCTGGGTTAACGGAGTCTGTAACCTGAAGCGTATGTAACCTGAAGCGTATGTAACCAGAGGTACCACTGTACATTCCAAAATCCATATTATCTATAACTTTTATTGGGCTAATCAAAACATCACAAAATAGCATGCAAGCTCCTGGAATCTTTCTTATGGGTCAACATGGGTAACTTTTCTTTTTATGGAGATACAGGCTTCGTGGCTAAATTAAGAACTGAGTGTTCAAATCCAAGCCTGTACTCTCTCTACAGGATTGTCCTTCTTTTCCTCCTCTGAACACTAAAGGCAAAGGCTTCAATGTAATTTCATTATTTATTCTTAATATTTTTATACCCGCTTTCTGTAAACCACCAGGGCACTGTGCAACAGGTCAAAAACAATAAAAATAGCCTAAGAACATGGAACCAACAATAAAGCTGCCTTTAAAACATTACAAGTAGTTACACTATTAAAAATTAAATTAACAAGTTGTGCCATTTCAAATTGCAGAGTAGGGAAAGATTCTTGCTCCGAGGAAAATGGAGCCTGAAAAACAATCAGTAACCACTAACCAGTGCTGAACTTTCAGTATCAGAGTACTATGTTCCTGATACTGTGCAGCCTAACCATCTGAAGCTTCTGGATGATCTCCAAGGGCAGCCCTATATAGAACACACTAAAGTAGTCTAAATGTGATAGGTCTAAGGGATGAATGTAACTGTGCAAATACAACCCAGGAATCCAGAGATAGCACAGGATAAAGAAGCACCCCTGAGCTAGGAAGTGTTCGGATAAATCGATCTGGCCCTTGATCGATAGAGCCGCGACTTCAGACAGCTTTACGGTCCCAATCAATCACTTACAGCGGTCCGGCACGCTTCCTCCCAAGCTGCGCAATAACTCCTGCTGTCTCTTCTCAGTCACGACTTTTAGCAGAGTAGAAACACAGCGTGTAAAGCAGTCTTACTCCTTGTAAGCACACATAGACAGGTTCGTCTATTTACAGCTCTTTATTACAACATTTCAGCATCAAAGTCCGTCACTGCTGGCAGCCATTGCTGCAAACATGTCTCCCTCTCAGATACACAGAGGGAACTGAACTCGACTCCTCCCACCTTCGAAAACTGACGTCAGAATGGTGTGGCACCATGGGAAAAACTTAACCTGTTAAGTTCCAATCCCAACACCCCCCTTTGCCGCACATTCTGACAAGACTCTTCTGAGTTCAACACCTTTCCCTTTGCCTTGTGCCCCTTTCCGGCATTTTTCCCAGGCACCTGTTGAACCCCTTCAGTAACACCTTGTGAGATCAATCCCACCCCCAATGCCTCGCGCCCTCTGAAGCTGCTCTCCGCTTCAGCACAAAGGGAAAGTCCTTTAAACTTGCCTTTGGAACTCCTCGCCCCCCCGATCTGCTCACTAGCGCTCCTAGAGGCCTATACATCGGGAACAGGGCCTGCCAGTCCAGCCTTTCCAGGACTCAGTCCATCACACAGACGTGTAGAAGCATTACAACAGCTCCCCAACACTGTCCCAGCCCCCATTGGGCTTTCTGGGCATCCTTCTGCCTCTCCAGGGCTTCCTCCAGGGCTCTGGCCTTTCGCTGACGCCTCACACAAGCCTTTCAGCAAATTCCAGGCAGCCCACGCTGTCGTTACGCCCTCCAACTGAGGCCCCAGTGACGCATCAACGCATGCTTTGAGCATATTCAGCTCTTGTTGCAGCCTCTGGCTATCTTCAGCCAACACAGCCCCACAGCTTGCTTCACCTGCTCCAGCTGCTGGCCGGCTAAGGGGTGTTTCTTTTGGCTCCCACTGGTTTGCTTCCCAGAGCCCTTCAACCAAGAACCATCCCCTTATTCTCCTGGACCACGTTGCCCAACTCTTTAGAGTGAGCTTTTCCACTGGTATATCCTGGCAGTCTGCCATCTTCTCCCGTTCTCCCAAGGGGCCCCAAGCTGTACTCACAAGCTTCTCTGGCACTCCCTTCCGTGGAGAAACGATTTTTCAGCTGCTTTTCAGCTCCAGCTCTCTGTATATCAGAAGCTCTCACTGCCTCTCGGAAGCAGGCAATTAATCATTCTTGCTCTCCGGCATCCACACAGCTCCCGTTCCTCAGAACCCAGCTTCAAAGCCTCCTGAAGCTGATTTACGACTGTTTTACGAGCGTTGGCTGACCTCCATAACCTGTTCGGATAAATCGATCTGGCCCTTGATCGATAGAGCCGCGACTTCAGACAGCTTTACGGTCCCAATCAATCACTTACAGCGGTCCGGCACGCTTCCTCCCAAGCTGCGCAATAACTCCTGCTGTCTCTTCTCAGTCACGACTTTTAGCAGAGTAGAAACACAGCGTGTAAAGCAGTCTTACTCCTTGTAAGCACACATAGACAGGTTCGTCTATTTACAGCTCTTTATTACAACATTTCAGCATCAAAGTCCGTCACTGCTGGCAGCCATTGCTGCAAACATGTCTCCCTCTCAGATACACAGAGGGAACTGAACTCGACTCCTCCCACCTTCGAAAACTGACGTCAGAATGGTGTGGCACCATGGGAAAAACTTAACCTGTTAAGTTCCAATCCCAACAGGAAGCTGATCTTTCAGGGCGAGTGCAATCGTTCCCAGAACAAGTTGAATCCCAATTCCAAAGTCAGTCTTTCTACTGACCAATGGTATGCCCATCTTGTCTGGATTAAATCTCAGCTTGTTCATTCTCTTCCAGCTCACTAAGAGATCTAGGCAGGTCTCAAGGTTACCAGCTACTTCTTTGGCCATAGACGGCAAGGAGCTATAAAGTGGAGTTTCATCAGCGTATTGATGACAAGTTAATCTAAAACTACCAAGTGGTTTTGTATAGGTATTAAATAACACTGGAAGCAAGGCAGAACCCTGAGAGAAACTGCATGCCAAGGACTGCAGTCCCATAACAGAACCATTTTAATACAGGCCCCAAGGTCCAATCCAGCTAGGCGGTCCAGAAATTTACCATGGTGGATGGCATCAAAAGCCACCAAGAGGTCCAGGAGAACTAAGAGGGATTCACTCCCTCCCATCCAATTCCCATTTTAGGTTATCAGCCAAGGTGACCAAAGCAGTCTCAATCCCGTGTCCCAGTGATATGGTCTAGATAATCAGCATCATTTAGATCACTATACCACCGTTAAGAGGCTTATAAGGAGCTAGGCAAGCCAGGAAAATGAAGGGATCTGAATATTCCATGGCATCTCTAATTTGACTGCAAGCAGAAGGAGGCAGCGTCAAGTTGATGGGGGGGAAAGCGCTTGAATGAGATCATGGCTGAGCAGACGAAAGGCAGTTATTTTGGGGTGGCAGTAAAGAGAAAAGCTGAAGGTTTAAATGTGGCAGGTCACATTGAATCTTTGGAATAGGGGCTTGGGCTTGAATCCTTGTCTATGTAACGAAAGAGTGCAAATAAACTAAGATAACTGAATGGCACCCTGCCCCTTAAATCTAATCTCCTCAATACCACTGAGTGAGAGTAAAGGTCAAAGAGAAAGCGATGTGCTGCTCATCTAGGGGTTACCACTGGTATTGCATTAGTAAATGAGTCATGTCTGTACCTGCAAGTTTGCAAGCTGAGCAGCCGACTTCCCCTCGAGGCACAGAGTTTGAGCTAGAAATGCGTTCAAGTCTTCCAAGGAGAGGCTGTCAACCTAGGGGGAAAAGCTTAGCTCAGAGCTATGTAAAAAGTTCATACCTTCCCCCATTACCTAAATTCCTTGCTACAGGAATGCCAGTCTTGCACCATGGCCTTATTCATCTGTAGTTCTTTGAAACACCATTTGCAATTTGCTTTCGCAACTTCAGCTCCTCTGCACTACTTCCACCAACTTCACCACCCTGCGCTCAAGGATCAGTTTAAAGGTTCCCTCTCTCCCGTCTTCTTTGATGATTTTATAATGAACCACAGAGACATTCACACTTCCCATTGGCCTTCCGTAATGCTGTGCCTTTTCTCCTATTCCTACATTTGAGAAAAGACAGGATTTGCACTTAAGTTGGGAAAACTTCCTTGGGTGCAATTAACAAACCACTTGCTGTGTCTTTGCCCATTATAAAGCATGGAATCATAGAAGCATTGAACTGTAGAGTTCGAAAGGGTCCATAGGGTCATCTAGTCCAACCCCATGCAAAGCAGGAATCACAGCTAAATCACCTCTTACAGGCTTTTAAGGGGGTATCTGAGTTTGACTTGAAGCTTTTTTTGGTGGTTTCTGGGAATTCGCAGACAGATGGCATGCTTATGCTATAATAATTTGCTTCAAGCATTTTAGGTGCTATCCATCAAATACTACTTTTGAACAACTGTACAACTACTATACAAAGGACTGCTTCTTTGCTCTGTTAATCAGTACAGTTATTTCATGCAATGCCGCACTGAAGCTTGAGGGGAAAGGGGTTTACCTTTTTCTTAATAACTTCCTTAATGTTTTGATTAAATTAATAGAAACATGGATAGAAAGCCGATGAAATTTAAGCAATCGGATCTGAATGAGAGGGACAAAGGAAGGAACAAAAGCCCATGTGACAGCAATTTCCTTTAGTTGCCTCTTCGCTGCAGGCTACGGGGATTTATACCGTTGGGAAACTGCTTTGATGGATATCTGTGTCTATTTTAAAGTTAGTTTTGAATTATTACTATAAAAACGACTTCTAAAGGCGAGTCAGGCCTTGTACGTAAGGACCCACCCTGAAAGATGGGAAGAATCAGTGCCTCTGAGCATGTAAAGGGTACATTCTTTCCCCACTGAGTTATTACACACAGAGAGCAATCAGTGATTAATGAAAAGGATTTCCAGATAACAAAGTGTGCCTCCATTCGGAGAGCTCCTCGCATCTCTTTTCCTAGGAATTAAGTAGTGCTGTGCTGGACTTTCCCAGGAAGAATGGCCAAGAGCTTAAAAGCTCTTTTCGCACCACGTCCACTTGGGGTTTCAAGCTTCAATCCCACCTCTGAGCTTTCCCCTCCCCAGTCCTCATTCAACCACATAGGGTTGAAATTGCGTAGGTTAAATGTGTGTAAGATGTGGGTTTACTGTACTTCAGTAATTTTCAAATAGCAGCCTCTGTTCACACTGCATGTCAAGCTGCTTTGGAAACCCAGGGAAGTTTAACCTTAAGTAGCTTTCTGGATTGTCATCACTATCTTCCAGAAAGACATAGATTTGCTCTTTTTTTGTTACGAAAGCTCAATCTATTTCCATGGCAGTTTGACCATTAGAATGACTTCCTAGAGAAGAACTTCATCATCGTCAGTTAAATCAATCTCGCAAAGGCCTTGGGAAACCGTCTCTCTCCCCCCCATCCCCCCCCAAAAATCAATCTCACAACATATTTGTCCTAATCTATGGATAGCCAAAGCCTTGCAATGTTGTGGACTACAATTTGCATCAGCCCCTACGTGAATGGCCAGTGGTTAGCAATGTTGCGTATTGTGGTCCACACATCACAAGGATACCGTGTTGGCTACCCCTTTACTAATCCGTATAGATCTGCTGCAGGCAGAAGTAAGGAAAGTCACAAAAGTAGGATTTTCTTTACTTGTAGGAAGAGGTACAGTAACAAGCAGCAGACAACAGCAACAGAAGCTTCCAGAGCCTGGATCTCCTCTGCTATTTCTTGCAGTTGAAAGCATGCCAGAAATGTCCAATGGCGTAGCTTTTCAGTCTCGGGTCCGCTGCTGAGCCACAGGGATCTCAAACTAGGAGTGCCACCTAGAAAAGAAAGCCACTATTTCAAACACCGTAGAAGCAAGATGTAACTAAGTTTTAACAGGAATTACTTACCTTTTCGAGATTATTATTATAATTAGTTAAATTCCTTTATCCAAAGATCATAGCCTGGTTTACAATATAAAAACACAAAAATATGCACCATAAATAACAAACAAAAACAATGCTCCCCTCAGCTATAATGCAAATATTAATGACTTATACCTAGAATCAAGATTTACGACACATAAAAGATATTGCCACTCTGACCCCGACAGCTGCCCTGGATCTCTATAAGATTTCATAGAGGGGGAAATTGCATCTTACAGTTGTACAGGATTACAGGGCTGAAAAACTGTGCTATTTATACAATGGATTTGTTTGCACACGTGAAAAACTTCACTCAGCTGCAAGTTTAACAAAGATGTATGTTTAGCAACGATGATATGATCCTTTCACTTCCCTTTTCTTGAATATTTTAGGCTCCTACAACCCGAGCACCAAACAGTGCGCAAGCACTCCCAAAAGGACCCATTTAAATGTCTCCACTCCAGCATGTCACCTCTGTGTTTGGTGTGTTGCTGTTATTCAAACCATGCTGCAACCTGGAAGGCCTGTCTCTTGAAATGAAAACTTGTTTGTGCATGCATCATGTTAACAGTGAAGGACAACAGGGTTTATTATTTTATTCCCTGGCAAGAATGAAAGCATGCAAAGTCATAATGCATCCATGTCTACTTGTCTTATATCTTATTGCCAGTGACCAAAAACTTGCATTACTTTTCCTCAACTATCAAAGTGAGTTATATAAAGTATGAAATACAAATACAATGTTTAGAAAGCTGTATTTAGATAAATTCCTGCCATAAAACTATTTCCCCAGCCTTTCAGACAGACAAAGGTGTCAGTTTTAAGATGAGTTAAGATGGTAACACATCTGCCTTTCCTTTTTATTTACAAACAGGAGTTGCATTCCTTTGGGTGAACCACTTGGCCACTATAAATGACTATAGTGTTGAAGTGTCAAACAGGGCGTGAAATAAATGTTTGTTTATTTGGCCAACAAAACTCACTAACCAAATGGTGCTTTTGCCCAGGGAGACAAAACAGAAAATAAATATTTTGTCCATCACCCTCATGTTGGTTTTCTTTCATATATTCTCAGTGTTAAATTTCTGAAGAATGGCTTCTCAAATTTGGAGAAAATTGGTGCTTGAGCAATACCACTGAATACAATTTTCTAGAAGCGTTTCAATTGCCCACAAATTGAGTAGTCTGCTAGTTCAATGTCCCACTTTATATATATATATATATTTATATATACTGCCATATTTCCAGGATACCCCAAAAATTGATGAGCTTTTTTTATGAAACCCCCAAGATTGTTGAGCTTTATTTAGGAAATCCTGTAAGCTGTTGATCTTATTTTAGACAACCCCCCTTAGACTTGAATGAGAAAAATAATGAAAGTGCAATGAGTTCAATGGGTGTATTCTGCATAGCTTATCTGGATATTACTCACACCAGGGGAAAACTGAAAAGAGCGCCATAAAGACTCAGTGTGATAAACTTCCATTGAAATGAGTAAAGCCAGCAATCATTTAATGTTTTATAATACAATCCTAAACATGTTTACTCCAAACTCTTAATAAGCTTGGTGGAGCTTACTTCCTAGTGAATATGGTAAGAACTTACTTCCAATAAAACATACAAAGGATTGCCCTAAATATAAATAAAAGTTGATGTAAATATGCCCAGTAAAGCCCTAATACATCATTTACAGTTCTGCAACAGTGATGTTCTCTAAACCTGCAATCCATGCGTGCAGAGAGCAGAATTTTTATGGAAGCTCTTTCCCTTCAGCCCACTGTGCCTGAAGCATGGCTACCACGGTTGGGACCTCTAGATGAGTGGACTTCCGATCCTCTATTGTGAAGATCTACAAACAGTTCTTTAACATGGAGAGTGAATTGCCAGATATCTCAGAGCACACAAATAATGTAGTGGCTTTCGCAACATGGCAACAGCATGAAGGGAGACGGTGCTCCAAAACATGTGTTTTATTCTCATGGGCAGGCAATGAGAAAGGGGTGGGGTGGGGGACAGCCTATAGACCACCACCCTGTCAACACAACTAATCCATTTGAAGGCAGTCTAAGCACTCCTGCATCTCTCAAAAATACTATTCTTCAATCGTCCTTGACTAGGTTTTAACCTTCAAGTATAAGTTACCAACACCTACACAGATCCAAATGAAAACATACTTGAATCTTTTTGGAGAAAATTCACACATTTATAAAAGATTTGAAAAGGTAAACAGAGTAAAAACTGTGACAGTATTGAATTATTCATTTCAATCATGCAAGATTTCATACCTATCTTTATTTTCCTTAAAAAAGAAATGTAGATGAAATACATAGGTGAACATTTATATGTTCCAAAAATACTCTTTAAACAAGTAAACAGAATGTGACATTTGTTTTTACTAGCCTGACTTTGCATTTCAGTCAATAACCTCCTACCAAAGCATTTTTAGATTTGAAAGTGACACACTGCCAACCTCCTTATTTGGTGAGCTACAGATTGATGCTGCAGATAAAACCGACATGAGAGAATTCAAGGCATACAAATATGGACAGCTGTTTTTTTTAGAAAAACATTTGTTTTGGAACAGACTACTGAAAATAAACTTTGTAAGTTCTCCCCTTCCTTACTAGTCTGCACTGAAATAAAACAGCTTTTCATTGCTGAATTGCTAGCAAATATGGTGCTATTACAAAGTCTTGCTTCCCGGACATTTTTGGCTGAAATTTCTCATACTTAAACTCAGCCCAAATAATCCTTTTTACAAGCAAGTTTAGAGAGTGATGGATTGATGTCACTGCCTCTGCCCAAGAAGGAAACTCCTCCATCTTATGAGATGCAAAGTTCTGCCTCCCAACTCTATGTCTGTACTGCTGGCAAGCGAGAAAAATGAGATGGAACCACTCTACACTTTCACCATGCCTGACCCCACTCAAAATTCAGTAGAGATACTTGATGACTGCACAGCTAACAGTACACACCTGAGGATCAGATGACACACAGGTTCTTCAGCATTTGTACCTATCTAACATGTAACTAACCCAACAACATGCTAGTGCAGTGCAGACACAGGCACAGTTCTTCTGTCTCAGCCACATTATTCAGCTAGAGCAGACTTTGGCACTGGGGTGCATTCACATCCTGAGTAGATTATTTTCCTAGTGGTTATTTTGCTTCTTTCTCATCTGCACCATGTAATCACTCCTCATATTTCCCTTCCCACCTCTTTGCAGGAATGCAATCAATGAATGAAGAAGTATGAAGCTCACTCACTCTTGTTAAGAATGTGCCTGTCTATGCTGTCTTTTTCTATATTCCTTAACGTAGCATAGGAGGCTGCCTTATACCAAATCAATCATTCATTTGTTTTATTTGTATGCTGCTTTTCCACATACAAAAACAATGCTGAAAATGGCATGCAGCAAAGGAAACGTGATGCATTTCAACCATACACCACAAAAGCAATAGCATATATAATAACATACTCCAAAACCACATTCCAATACTATAAATTTAATAATTTAAGAAGGCAACTTAACAACCTGCAGCATCCAACAGCAAAACTAACCACTGATCCATCTAACTCAGTATTATCAATGCTGGCTGGTACTAGTTTTCCAGGGCCTTTCCCTGCCTGGAGATGTCAGGGATTGAACTTTCTACAGACAAAGCATCTGCTCTACATTACAGTCCTTTCCCAATGACTTGGGGTGGTATCAAACAAAGTGTTACTCACAGTGGATTCTGTCTGGGTCTTTTTTCACATTTTCTCTGGAAATTGTGTTGGCTGCCATTTTTTAATTTTATTGCAGTGCTGTATTTCTGTATTTTAACCCGCTAAATTTTCATGGTTGATGTTTGCTGTTTTTAGATGTCGAAAGCCTCCTTGAGGGCCTATCAAACCATTATGGCAAGCTACATGTTTCTGAAATAAATGCATTTACGTAGGGTGGCTTTATCAAAGCTGTCTGGCTCTCTGAAACAAAACATCATTTAAATCCACACTGCATATATTTGAAAGCAAAGTATTGTGTATTTAGTTATCAATTTTCAATACAAAATGAAATTTCATTCTACCTGGGAGTTCCTTGGGTTGTACCAAGTCTGGTTGTTTCAGGGAATTCCCAGCGTACACAAACCACTCCTTTACTACAGGGTAGGTCCCATTGACATCTAAGGAAAAGAGAATTGGATCAATGAACCAATAAGAGAACTGACATTTTCCAATTGGAAGCATTTACTCTTTAAAGACACAAAAATACAGTGGTACCTTGGGTTAAGTACTTAATTCGTTCCGGAGGTCCGTTCTTAACCTGAAACTGTTATTAACCTGAGAGTACCGCTTTAGCTAAGGGGGCCTCCCGCTGTCGCTGCACTGCCGCCGTGCGATTTCTGTTCTCATCCTGAAGCAAAGTTCTTAACCTGAGGTACTATTTCTGGGTTAGCGGAGTCTGTAACCTGAAGCGTATGTAACCCGAGGTACCACTGTATAGATAAAGGCTGCAATCCCACATCCAAGGAACCACTGTATTTAATACCCTAATTCTATACGTCGCATAGATGTGATATGACAAGACAGACAGCAGTAGGCACTGACTTACCTACCTCGGCAAGCCATGTAAGCTATCGTGACAGTGTTAAATAGAAGTTGCAATCCCATGCTAGTTTACAACAATGTTTTGAATGTGGATGTTTGAACCAAGTTTCATAGTAGCTTTGAAGGCTTTAGGTTAGCATATTGTTAAATTGCCCCAGTTCTGCTTTCCCTGCTTGCTCCCATATTTTGCATATTTTGTCAATTTGTCCGCAAACAAATGAAGTCTTCAAGACTCTCATATTTCTGCACGAGACAATTCTTTGAAGGAAGTCCTTCTAATACAGCAAGGGTGGAGAACCTCTGGCCCACAGACCAAATGTGGCCCTCCAGGCCTCTCCATTTGGCCCGCAATCCTGTTTTCAGGAGGCCCCAACCACCTGTCCCACACCTGGCATCGCTATGTCAAGTGATTGACAGGTGGGTGGCCCTGCTCACCTGCCAACTTTGGCTTGGCAGGGGTGGAGGAGATAAAAGATCTGGCTCTCTGGAGAGGAAAGGCTCCTCACCCTGAGATACAGAACAACTGTCTAGCCTAGCAGGATCAGGCCAACCACAGTGGTCAGGCAGATGCAACAATATACTCTAGAGTCTGTATCTGTACTGGAACTATCCTTCCCTGTTTTTATATTTGGAATTACAGTGGTACCTCGGGTTAAGTACTTAATTCGTTCCAGAGGTCTGTTCTTAACCTGAAACTGTTCTTAACCTGAAGCACCACATTAGCTAATGGGGCCTCCTGCTGCTGCTGTAGCACAATTTCTGTTCTCTTCCTGAAGCAAAGTTCTTAACCTGAGGTACTATTTCTGGGTTAGCGGAGTCTGTAACCTGAAGCGTATGTAACCCGAGGTACCACTGTATTTTCAAATGTTTACATTGTTTTACATATGGAATTGTTTAAGCTGATACATATATATATATACACACATATATATATATATATATATATATATTGCAAGCTTTAAGTAAAAATAAATGGTTTGAATATTCTAAATTCTGTTTCTGTGTTGACTGGCCAATGACCTTACAGTTCAGCCTGAATAACTGATTTTTTTTTTTTAAAGGAGGTAACACTTTGGGATCAATCCTCCAGCCTAACTCACAATAGTTATTTCAACCCCTGAAGAAAACATTGCATTTTTTTCCAAACAACACAAACTTTCTGTGGTGTTTTTTTAAAAAACCTACAAAGCTAGTCTAAACATAACCGTTTTGCTCTGCTTTCTGATCATTAACAGCTTTCATGACTGTTTTATTACACTAGTGGGGGGAACTAATCACCTTAAAAGGTTCAAAAATGCACCAACATGTAAGTACACCCTGTTCTTATTCTTATTATTTCTAATGGCCTTCTCCTTACTAATTGCATGTAGAATGCCTACAGCATCAAGGCCTAAATTTCATACAGATGTGAGCCTCTCAAAAATGGATGTAGAGATTTCACATTTCAACAAAATATTTTGAGAAGCCTGTGAATAAAAATGTGACCCAGCTCACAATCTGGTGCCCTTCATATGTTTTGGACCAGAACTCCTTTCAGCCCTATCCAGTAGGACCAGTTACATTGCACTGAAATTCCAGCACAGCGTTTACCTTTTGCAGACTCCAGCAGAAGAGAATAGATATGCTGACGGGCAGGGAGAAAGATAAGTGCCTGTCCAGAAAGCTCTGTATCATCTTCATCTTCCAAAGTGTTGCTGCATTCATCCTCTCCACTGCACATGAAAGCGTACGCACGACTTTCAGCTCTCACAAATTTTTCTTTGGCTATCTGTTCACAAGAGACCCAGATATATTATTTGCTTTCACTGCTGTCACTTGGTATTTGTGATTCTTTTCTGTTTTACAGCAGTAGGATGCCACAAAAGATTTAGCACAAGAGAAGGGCAAATGAGCTCCTCTCCAAAAAACAAGTGTCTTGAGGTAATAAAGCAAATGATAATAATACAATATGCATGTATCACACACGTGTGCCTAAGTCCAAGGTACAACAGGGCATTCATAACTATACAAAAAGAAACTTCAAGAGCTTAATTACCTGCAGGATCTCCTGATCTAAACACAGGGGCACTTCTTGTTCGACTGATGCCACTGAGCAATGTGAGAAGTCACAAGGAAGCCATGGAGACTGCTGCCCAGGCAGGAGATAAGACTCTATCCCACTGCAAAGTAGGGATTTGTCTGATTCCAAAGGCAACGTTTCTGCTAAAGCTATCAAACTACCATATGAACGCGAAATAGATGAAATATAGTTTGCCACGGCTAGAATCATGCTACTCCTTTGATTAGAGCCCTGGCTTTTTGCACAGTATGAAGCAACGCATTGATTCCGAAAACGTCCCATAACCTTTTCTGGTACTATGTATGTGCCAAGGATGCAGGCAAGAAGGGGGAGATCTGTTGGATGGAGGCCCAACCTGCTGCAGAGATTCTGCCTTGAGAACATCACTGTATCTAGCCTGTGCAAGTGGAGCTCTTTGACAGAAAAATAGGGAGCAGTGTCAAAAATCAGATAGTCTGTGTCCTCTGCAAGAATCCCCATGCAGTTGTTATGCAGTGCATAAGACGCCACTTCATAGTCTGCCTCTCGCAGTGAACATATTGTCTCTTGACCAAGGGTCCTCAAGGCGGAGCGTGTAAAAGTAGCCAACCCAGATGGAATAAAGAACATTTCTCTCCCGGGCTGCTGCTTATAGGTCTTGATGAACCGAAAGATCTTGGCTATTTCTTTGCCATTATCCAATCTCCGCCTAACCCATTCACTTCGCTTTTTCGGCTCCACCAAACCATCAAAGTAAAACACAAGTTTGATACCAGCTGCTGTAAAGGTGTTTATGAAATGATCCAGTACAGAAAGATATTCGCGCCACTGGCCACCACAAACCCACGATTCTGCTGTGTACCACTTTTTAATACAACACATGGCATCTACCACAAGGACAGGAGTAGACCCAGGATACTTGCTGCGGTGCTCTTCTGCCACTACTTTCAGGTTTACCGCTGTACATGCACCCGGACAGTCATTGGTCACAAACGAATACAAGCCTTTAACGCCCATATTGCAGCGATACGTAAAGTTCGGTTTCTTCAAGAACCTAAAGAAACGAAACACATAAACAGTAAGACAAATCATTCTGGGGACAATTTCAATAAGGAAGGCTACCGTAAGAAGGGTGCAAGAAACGCCACACAAATCCACAGGACTGTAAAAGAGATCCATTGGCAAAAGGGTTGCTCTTCCATGGCACACAGTGCATGCAACACATCTGAATCCCTTAGACAAGGGACTGAAACAAACTTTCATCGATAACAGTTGGGGTCCAAAGAACCATCCAACTTTCCCCACATATCCAAAGAAGGTTAAGACTTGTGTTTCCCAAATGGCCTCCTTAACTTTTGAAAGTGGAAGCTTTTGAAACTGGTCGGACTTTTGAATGCAATTTGGTGATTTGGCATGGAGGATTTGCATGGCAAAAGTAGCTCTCTGGATCTTGGCCCATGTCTTTATCGTATCTCTATCTCGGTTTCTTTCTCCCCATGTACCCTTGCCACCAGCTGAAGGTAGAAAACCACCCTTCAGCTGTAAGACCTAGTTTCCCACCTCACCTTTTAACATTTGATATGTAAGCTAAATCTGGTGCGCACACAGCCTTTTTCATGGGTGCAGCCAGGATTTATGTTGGGGGGCAGGCTTTATGATAGGGTGACATGGGTAGCTGCCCATGGCCTTTTTGGGTTGGACCCCATGATGGCATTAAGCAAGCAGTGCTTCCACTCACAAAAAAACGGACAACTGATTTTCACTGACACTTCCTACACACTGCGCCTTTTAAATAGTCAGATACTGTAGATGTTTAAATAAATTAAATTACATGATTAAATTCATGGGCTCACAATGAGATGATATAAGTACTGTAATTGTATAAATACCAGAGGTACAGTCTCCTATCATTCAGGAGGAAAGAACTGTTTCCAAAATGCATATTGGAAATCAGAAAAGTGAAATTTGAACTAGCCATGATATAAAAAGAACCTCCCTTAAAAATGAACTTTTATCTGCAATCCTACCCATACTTACTAAGGAATAAGCCTAACTGAGCTCAATGAGACTTACCTCTGAGATGTGCTTTTTTTCTAAAAAAAATGTTTAGGGGTACTCTTATTTTCCTACTCATATTGAAATACTGCCTCTCAATGAGGCCAAACTTAGATTCACAAATGTTTAGGTGTATACGTACCCCTGCATCCCCCCCCCGAAAAAAGCACTGCCTCTGAATAGTATGCTCAGGATTACACAGTTAATAATGCAAGACTTTCTTTTCCTTTTTTACATTACTGAAAAGAAATTTCCCTTATTTCTAACACAAACAGTGAAGAAATACACTGCAAGTTTTAATTAGGCTGGTGTCTATCTTTCGCACGACTGATTTCTCACATTTTCAATTACAAAGCACCTACGAAGTGTTATATTCAGTACATGCTACTAAAATAAGGTGATTGCGGATTGCTAATTTTCCATTTCAAAAGCTGACAGTGGGTTTACTTTCTAACTTCATGGTTCAAAAATCCCAGCCCTTCATGTGCAATTTACAAGTTCCTATTCATTGTAACACCAGAATATATTACTAAAACAGTGCAATGTCTACTCAGAATTAAGTCCCACTGAGTTCAATGGGACTTTCTCCCAGGCAAGAAGGTATAGGATTGCAGCCCAACACAATCTAAAACTAACATGAAATGACTTTTTCAGAGATGCTACTGAATGCCCTACCTCGGGTGCACAGATTTATCTAACAGACGCTGTAGCTTCTTTCCCAGTTAAATGAACACTCCCTGACAATTCTAAGATTTGCTGTAACAGGCTTAACTGAGGCCTGAAACCTTGTGCATAAGAGATTGGAAATTAAAAACAGGCATAATTAAACTCTTCACAGAGCCGTGTCCAATGTTTCAGCTCATCATCACTAAAATGTCTCAAATACCTACAGAAACTACTATCATATAACTCCCAGTGACCTGAAACGGTGAGGCTGTGACTGTCCTCCTCACCTGCCTCCCTTCCCTCAACCCAAATTTTCTCACACCCTCTCCTTTTTGGAGGATCCCAGGTAGGAAAAAAAATGCACATTGAGGGAGAAGAATGTCCTATGGACGATGGAGAATTAATGGAGGCAACAGGAAGCTTACTATCCACACCAGTGCCGGATTTACGCATAAGCTAAACAAGCTATAGCTTAAGGCCCCCTCTCTTGGGGGCCCCCAAAAAAATTAATGGGAAAAAACCCTGGATGTAAATTTCCAAAATATAAGATAAAACACAAATAAAATAAAACCTACATACAGCAACAGTGTTTTGGGTTGTGTAGGCTCCTATGTAGTAGGCCCTGCCTGCTAGCCCGCTCCCTAAAATAAGGTTACCAGACATCCCCATTTCCTGGGGACAGTCCCAAGATTTACAAATCAGTCCCCTGACAAAATTCATCTACAGTGGTACCTCCAGTTGCGGGCACAATCTGTTCCGGGGTGCCGTTCGCACCCCAAAAAGTCCGCAACTGGAGTGGCGCTTCTGAGGAAGCGCAGAGTGCGATAGAGTGCTTCTGTGCATGTGCGAAGCGCGCAGAACGCTTCTGCACACACACGTGAAGCCGCATTCGCAAGCCGAAAAAACGCAACATGAACCTAACGCAACACGAGGTATGACTGTATTTAGTAGGAAGTTGAAAAGGGTCCCTGGATTCATTGGGGAAAAAATTGGTACCCTTACCCTAAAATATCACTGGTTTGCTCATTTCTATATATAGGGTGCCTACATTCTGCATGTGCAAATGGCTTTAGATACCTTTTAGGTCCATAAATTACCATATAGCATATATTCAACAGCAAAAAGAGCGGCAATTTGTTGTTGACAAAGGACAGCTGGACCTATAAAGGGGCCCAGTTACCTTCAGTAGCTTAGGGCCTCATCAACCCTAAATCCGGCCCTGATCCACATTAAGCAGTTACGGATGATCTCTTGATGCTGCTACCTGTGAAAGCAGCCTATATTATGACAAACTGGCAGATAAGGAGGACTGGCACTGCCAAAGACCCACCATGAATATCCAGTCCCCTAAATGGAGGTGGCACAACCTCTCAACAGAATTCCTTGTCCGAGAGGCTCACCAGGTCACCTGACTGTGCCCTTTTCTGGGCGCATACAGGCAACCACCTGCGTTGTGCCTTAAGGAGAGAAGCCACCCGCCCTCGCCCTCGCGCTGACAACGCCACTAACCCGCCTCCACGGCCGCCTCGGCTTCCTTTCGTACACGCACGCCAAGGGGCTACGGGCTGCACGCGCCTCTCGCAAAACTTCCGGTTCCCGGTGGCCTTTCTCAGAAGCCATATGCGGGGAGGAAAGACGTCGGAAATTAACGCAAAGCCTCACAAGGGGTGAGGCTCTCGGTGCTTGCTTTAAAATAACTGGACCCTTTACGAGATGGGAGGTATGATATACGCTGTGAAATAAAAGGGCGCTGGCGTTTTATTTCAGCCTCGGCGTGAGCGTTCCCCTCATCTACGCCTCACAGAAATCCCGGCGAGAGAAGTAAATTGTGAGAAAGGTTTTGCCCGCAGGATTTCAAAGTAATGTAACCTATACGCTCCCCTTTGGTTCCAGTGCAGGTCATACGTCGCCCCCAAAACAGAGAAGCCAACAACAAGCGATCCAGGGTTAAAATTATATGGGGTGGGACAGGAACCCCATGCTGGCATTCAGAAATGCGGGACAGGCAGGCATTCAACAGGTACACGCCCATTACGCCCCCAGCCATGCAAATTTAGGGGTGGGGTAGTATTTCTGCATCTTGTGCAGCCTTGGGAACGAACACTTTGGACTATTGCATGGGTAGACAAACTAAGGCCCAGGGGCCGGATCAGGCCCAATCGCCTTCTCAATCCGCCCGCGAACAGTCTGGGAATCAGCATGTTTTTACATGAGTAGAAAGTGTGCTTTTATTTAAAATGCATCTCTGGGTTATTTGTGGGGCATAGGAATTTGTTCATTATTTTGTTCAAAATATAGTCCGGCCCCCCACAAGGTCTGTGGAGCAGCGGACCGGCCCCCTGCTGAAAAAGTTTGCTGACCCCTGGACTATTGCAATGCCCTCTATGTGGGGCCACATTTGAAGGTGACTCAGAAACTACAACTAATCCAGAACGCGGCAGACTGGGAGCAGACGCCGGGACCATATAACAACAGTCCTAAAGGATCTACACTGGCTCCCAGTACGTTTCCAAGCACAAGTCACAGTGTGGGTGCTGACCTGTAACGCCCTAAGTAGCTTTGGCCCACCAAAACTGTTGAGCTTTTTTTTACACCTGGGTTTTTCCTGGCATTTTGCCCCCGGTGCCCTTTTTACACCCGAATACCAGGACGTGTCAGGAATTTTCCCGATGTGTGGCAAGCCTAAGCAGACACTGAGGTCCAGCACTGTGGGCCTTCTGGCAGATCCCTCACTGCAAGATGTGAGCTTACAGGGAACCAGGCAGAGGGCCATCTCGGTAGTGGCGCCCACCCATCAGATGTCAAGGAAATAAGCAACTATCTGACTTTTAGAAGACCTCTGAAGGCAGCCCTGTCTAGGGAAGTTTTTAAATGTTTGATGTTTTATCGTGTTTTTAATATTCTGTTGAGATCTGCCCAGAGTGGCTGGGGACATCCTAGTCAGATGGGCAGCATATTATTATTATTATTATTATTGCAAATCTTTCGCTGGTTCAAGCCCAACTCTGGATCTGTAATGCCAACACATTAGGCCAACACATTTCTGGCGATCCCTTGAACCCGCTGACAGGGCACAGCATCAAACACCCCACTCGTGTATTCCAAAGTAAGCACCACAGGGCTTGACAGGGCTGGGTTTACTCCCAGGTAAGCGTGCGGAGGATTACAGCCACGCAGCCCGATCCTATGCATATATTTACATGCAAGGAACATCCGCCAAGTTCAATGGAGCTTGTTCCCTAGAAAAGCATGTTTAACAGTCCGTGTGAGCCGATTTGGTGTAGCGGTTAGACTGTTAATTAGGCATAGGACCTGGGAAAGCAGCATTCAAATCCCACCTCAGTCCAGTGGTGTAGCGTGGGGGGTGCAGGGGGGGGCCGGCCGCACCGGGCGCAACATCTGGGGTTAGGGCAAATCTACAGGTTATGGGGCGCAAATCCACGGCTTAGGGGGCGCAAATCCATGGGTTAGGGGGCGCAAATTACTTGCCTTGCCCCGGGTGCTGACAACCCATGCTACGCCACTGCCTCAGTCATGAAGCATAGCAAGTTACTTTGGACCAGCCACTGCCTCTCAACCTAAACTACCTTGCAAGGATGCTGTGTGGATGAAATTGGGACGGGGGGAGAAAGAAGAAGCATGCATGACTCCCTATAGAGAATATAAGTATCACCATATATAAATAGATGGATACTCAGAAGACTGCTGTGAGCAGACACAGGGCTGCAGCCGTCCACAGCAAAGTGAGGCCCACTACGGTGGATGGGGCTTACTCCCTAAGCAATTGCAACAACAGGAACTGGCACTTCTGCCACTGTTTAAGACCATCTCTGCAGGGTTAGACCAAAGGCTCCTCTGTTCTCACAGGGCTCAATAAGATGCCCACAGGAAGACCCCAAAGAGGACCTGAGTGCGGCAAGGAGCTTCCCTCCCCACTTGGGAGTCTCATCAACCAGCATTTAGAGGCATACAGCCTCCTCTGACAGTGGACATGGAAAATAACCGCCGTGGCTCATGGCCACTGATTTGACCAGCATTCATAGAATCATAGAAGTGTATAGTTGGAAGGGACCCTGTGGGTCATCTAGTCCAACCCCTTGCAATGGAGGAATCCTGCCCAGCACTAGTCCAGAAGCTGAGAAGAGGAAGGAGCCCAAATCACGATTTATGCTTCAATTCTCGTTGATAAAACAACTCTTAATTTCTCTGCTGCCTCCCTGTCCAGCTTCCTCCTCTCACCACTAGGCCGGTTGCCTTTTTTCCTACCTAAAACACCTCGAGTTCTATTCTGACAGGCAGCGAGGGAAGCAATTTCACCAAGGGAAATACAGAATCTCGTTCCCCCCCCCCCTTCCTTCCCGAGTAAAGTATAATTCTGCCAAAGCACTGGAACGGAAAAGCACCTCTCTCTCTCTCTGCCCCAAAGTTTTACTACAATCCCCGTTTACTTCCTTTGCTCGGAATTCGACGGCGTCTACTGGCAGCCCGAAGTGAGCGCTGCGTGGAGCACTTTCATTAATGAGCTATCTCTTTGCGAAAACGCCGGCGCCTCTTGGGAAAAGCGTGGTGAGAGAGAGCGCCGCGTGCACCATCCCGCTCGCGATTTCTGCCGCGTCCTTTTTTTCTTATCTCTATGGTTCTTCCCGGACCGAAAAAGTGCGGGAGTCGACCACGTGACCTCCCGCGGCCGGAGTCTCTTCCTCGAAGTCGGCGCCGCCCTCGCCGTGGAATAGAGGCGGAGCCTAGAAACGTAGAATGAATGGCAGAGCTGGAAGGGAAGGGTCCCTAGGGGTCATCTAGTCCAACCTCCTGCAATGCAGGAATCTCAGCTAGATCATAGGACCGTAGATGCAGACGAGGAGGAGAATGACAAAGAGAACTTGCGCAGGACAGGCTGGTAATACACACAACTTGCGCAACTTTGAAGCCTCCTCCTTTTGCAGTGCCGCTTATTTATCATTTGCTGCCTCAGTAAGAGCACAAGGCCATCTCACGTGAGGCTTTCCGCGTACATATTGTTTCTCGTTTATTTCATGCAATTGACACTGAGGGGTCCTTGCATATGCTCTCCTACAACTTATACTGCCCCATAAATCTTTTTCATCTTCTATATGTTTCATACCCCTCTTAATTTATCCCTGCGAGTTTTCTCTCCAGTTGAAATGAAAGAGAAATCTTCATATTTTTCCATCCTTGATTAATCCTTGATTAAAAGCAGTATTGTCTACTGTTGTCATTCCTTAATACCAAGTGTGCCCTATAGTTAATGTTCGCAAATAATCACGCTTCATGCTAATTTGCTTCTTTTTCTGTCCAAAAGCAAACTTTTTAATGTCTTCTTTCTGTCTGCTAATTGCTAAGGCAGGGGACGTGGGGCAATACTATTAAAACTATAGGTGTCTCCTTAAATGTTCAATGAAATTGTTTTTAAAGATTTGTTTAAATGTCCCTCCTCTTTTCATCATCATCATCAACAACAATACTGCCCTATTTTTGCTTCTGCGGCTTCTTTTTTTATTGGGAATCTTTTCTCTGTGTCTCTTTCTTGGAGTTGGGCTTTAAAAAGATGGTTTCCTAGCAGCAGAATGCAGAAGGCCCATTCATATTACAATGGGCAGAGAGGAAAGAAAGAGGCTGGTTTGTTTAAACTGCTTCTGTCTTCATTCACAGCCTGATATCCATGGGCATTGTGCTGGCTACAATAGAACTAAAGGACGTATTGTGGCCGAAAACAAATCAAAACAGAAGAAGCAATGATCAGAGAAAAGAGTCATGCAACAAAATTGTCCCCAAAATCGAAGTCTTACATCTGAGATTTATGTTACCTTTTTGCTGCTTGGCCTATTGACCAGTGTTTCGAATAACCACTAGAGTTTAATAAACAAAGCCTCACATGGGAACTTTCATGATCATTTGCAAAAGGCAGAAAAGATGCAGCCAGGGTAGTGGGGTTTTTTTTGTTCCTTTACCATTGTCCTCCTGGCCTTGCAAGTGTTTTGCAAGGAAGAAGGGCACCGGTGGCTTTTCTTTAGCAGCGAGTCACATATGCTAAGTTTACCCCCCAAAAAATATTAGCTGGTTTGGGGCCTAAAATATGCCCTCTTTCTCTCTCACGGACACATATATATGCACCATAAGTCTGGATGGTGAGTCTGAAGTTCTCTGGCGATCACATGACCTACTTCAATCCGATAGGCAACAGGTGGAAGCTTGAATAACTTCACATATTTTTTCCGGGGGGGTGGGGGGGAGGGAAGGGGGCTCGATGGGGAGCCAATTGGAGGATTAGATCAGATGTTATTGCCAGTGGAAAAAATTAAACAGAGCAGTGCTCTGGGGAACACAGATTAATATATTTAGTGACTTTGCGTACACAAAGGCTTACCATTGTAACCACGTCTGAATGCCTGTGAATAGGATGGAACATATGCAGCCTGCCACCGCAGGTGCCCACATCTGTTATTCCCCAGGCAGATGCTCGCAGGGGGAAAAGGGGGAGCCCG